TATATATATATTTATATCTATTGATAAAAATCTTGTGATATAAATCAATGATTGATATATATATATATATATGTAATACAATTAGGGGTCATAAATTAGTGATTTTCTATCTCTCTTTAACATTTTCAAATCGTATGTTTATTTATAGAATTATTAATAGAATATTATCTTATTATAAACCTAATCGATCATGCTTGTCGAAATATAAAATCAAATTCGATTGTATAAAGTAAATTTTTTTTTTTAATTTCACGATAACAAACACGTATATGTACTTTCCATTTTACAAACTTATGAATGTTTTTGTTAATCGATCGATAAATATTAAACAGGGATCGATATAATACCATAGATAATAAATGAAAAAGTGAGATAGATTAAGAATACAAAATTGCGAGAGTTGATGATGATAATAATAATAATAATAATTATAATCGTGAAATTTTTGTTGTCTTCTTTTATTATTTTTTTCTCAGATCAATCGCAGCCGGACTTGCTTCATTTTTTAGTCGATTAGGTGCAATGATGGGGACCTTGATGACTGGTTTATTGATAGATAATCATTGCACGATTCTTATCGTATTGGTTGGAATACAACTTCTCAGTGAGTAGGAATATTATTTTATTTATATAATGTATATATGTATATATTATAATTTATCTATATAATAATATATATTATATATTTATATTATATATTTATTATATATATATAATAGTATATAATCTATATAATATAATATTTAATTTGAATTTTCATATTTTTTCTATTTATTTTTTCTTTTTTTAGTATGCAGTATACTTAGCATCCTTACACCGAAAAATAACAAATAGGAATTAAATAAAAAAAGAAGAAAAATCAAATTCTGTGAAGATCTCTAGCAAATTCGGATTATATTTTTCTACTAGATCACATTGAGAATAAAAAAATAAAAACAAAACAAAGAACAAATTTAAAATACATATTATCTATTCTCTCTATCTTTCTATCTTTTTGTTTCCTTTCTTCGTTGTACTTTTTTAAAACATTATTTATCCATGGAAAACATCTTGTTCTATTTCTCATCGTAGATATAGTAAAAATGTTTGCTTGATTTAATAGGGTCAAAAACGTGGATAATACATCATGTTACATCATGTTAAGGTATGTAAGTAAACATGTATCATTAAACTCGTGTCTATATAAAAATCAACGTAATCATTTTTTTCTTAGTTTACATCTCGAGACGTATAAATTTTCAAAAGTATAACGCGACACATATATTATCTAGAACAGTAGTACTACTTTTTTGTCATCTTACCTTATAGTCTTTAAAAAAAAAAAACAAGAAAAACAGCAGCTTCTTCCGATAAGAAAATACAACATCGCATTTTGTTCGTAAACGTTAAATAAATTGGGGTAAAATTATTTATTGCTATAAGCAATTCATTAAATGGATGAAATGATTTTATTTTTCTAACAAACAAATTGTTTTTTCCTTGGAAATAATCACACGCTATTTTATAAAAAAAAAAAAATATACAACACCGAATCGAATTAAATGTTTGAAAAATAAATTTGACAATTTTGCACAATCGTACGAATTTTACGCAATTTTGTATTCATTTTTATTTCGACGTTTAAATGTTAAAACAAATTACAAAATAAAAATCAAATGTTATGTATTATTTACTTTATCCTTACACATTTTTGTAATTTAATTATTTGAAACGATTACTTTTGTAAAAATGAAATAAGAAATTATTCCCATCACCAAACGTTCAATTAAATTTTATTATATTATCTACCATTGTGTGTTTAAATTGTTAAATACAAAAAAAAAAAAGGAAAAATAATTGTATTGGGATCACTAGCACTTGAATACGCTATCTGGCGGCTAAATTCAAAATTAGAGTAGATAGGTCGAATTGTTACGCCACGCCCCTGCCAGAGATCCCAATAACTTTATAAATCATGAAATTAGAAGTTAGTGTTAATAGAATTTGAAGGAAAAAACGTTGAAAGAAGAAAAAGATTTTACAATATTACAAAACTAACAAAATTATTTAGCATCATTTAACAACTTTTAAAACAATGTTCTTATTGTTTCCGAACCGTCATAATTTGTAACATTTCCTGTGAATAATATATTCTAATTTAATTAACGTAATTTCATAAACACTTCCAGATTTGACAAATACCAGCAATACGTTTCGAATAAATTATATTATCCAATCACATACAAGTTATATATACATACATATATAAAAAAAAATCCAACACTAAATAAAATAAAATAAAACAAAATAAATAATCGTTCACATTAAAAAAATATAATGAAATAAAGACCATTGACTCGTTTACAAAGATGGCTGACTACTGGTGGTGACCATTAAAGATGGACGAACGGAAAAAAAGGAAAATGAGAAGAATAAATTTTGGCTTTAAAGTCGTTCCCTATATAATATTCTTGGCAAAGTAAATTTGTCCTTGATGTTGATCAACACACACACAACACAGAAGTTGCTTCCCCGTTCTAAAAGTCTTCTTCTAAGCCAATGTGTATTAAAAAATAAACATCCGGAAATGACCGGTTAATACCAGCATATTGGCACACGCAATATCCTACACACACACACACACACACACACACACACACACAAATCTCTCTCTCTCTCTCTCTTATTCTTTCTCTTACACTGTTTATATACACACATATATATCGATATAAACTAGCATACATAACATTCCGAAAGTAGTTACAAGGTAAGAATAGGTAAGAAGGTGGTAACGTTAGTGCCATCCGATTGGCGTCCAGACACGGGACCATAATACATTTGCTCTAATCTCTCCTAACCAAAAAAAGAAAAAAAAAACAAAAACAAATACTATACTATGACGATATAGTATCATCAACAAGTTCGAAGATCTTTCTTTTTCTTTCTCTCATTCTTTCTTTCTTTCTTTCTTTCTAAAGAAAAATAAATAAAATTGATTTTATTTTTATTATAAATGTGAATTAATACGCGTGACGAAAAACAAAACGGGTTTCAGGGTTATACCCGGTTAGATCGAATTAAACGGTTTAGTGACAAAAGTTTACCATTGTCGTAGTCATCGTCGTGTTGTTGTTTGTTATTTGTTGTTGTTAGTTGTCTCGTGTCGAGAGTTGGGTCATACGAAGTTTTTGACATCGAAAATACAATATATCTATAATATCTGACATTTAATTTAACGTTTTCGTAAAAAAAAAAAGAAGAAACACGATAAACGTAATATTATTTAGGTAAATATTGGGTTATTCGGAAAGTAATTTCGTTTTTTCCTGACACAATAAAGTCATTAGTTGATGCAAACCAGCAAATATCAAAACGTAAGATCGGTGAGAGATTAAATTTATCAAATTCAACTATTTAAGACAACTTGAAGGGCCTAGGTTTAACCTGGAAGCGAAAATTGTTTTCATTTTCACACAAAAAACACGAAATCACTTTCCGAACAACCCAATATATTATATTATTTCTAGTAGATTTACAGTTAACTTTTAGCGTTCGCCATTTTGTTGAAACAAACCAACCCCCACTTCTTCATTCTCTCAATCAGTAATTGGTAATTAATTATTTCACGATTTTTTTTTACACATAATTTTAATTCTATTTATTTATATTTCGTAATATTTAATGAACAATTTTGTTTAGTTCGAATAAACAAATCGATAGTTTAGATTCTTTTTTTGTTTTTTTTTTTTGTTTACAAATGAGATTCATTTTTCTCACGGCACGATTATTTATATCTGTACAGTATTTTTATTTTTCTTTTTTTTATTTTTCTTTTACTTTATCACTAAAAGTATAAATGCTTAGAGTGGGTTAAAATCTCTAGGGAAATTATTATAACGAAGATGGGTGTATAGTTTTCACGAATATTGTTGCTACGAGTAATTGAACGTCTTTTATTATTTCGAGACATTATATTCACGACGGGCATATTGCCAATGGTTTTGGATTATTACTTACGGATTTATTATCGGCTGAGAAATGTCTTTCATTTGTGATGATGTGTCTCGTGTTAAAATCACACAACTACTCTTGCAAATGTTCGTTGACCGTATTGTTGACGTTTCATCCATTTTTTTTCTTTTCTCATTTTTTCATTTTTAAGTCCCCAACGAAGTAATTAAAACCCACAATTATAGAAATGTTATTGGAAAAAGATAGGAAAAGCAACATGGTGTAATTGTACAAAAGGGTGGGGAGGATTTTTTAAGGAACATAAATGTTTATAAAATGGTCCGTGATCGAATCATTGTGAACTAACTCAAAATGGTGATTATAATTAAACGAATATTTGGCAGTGTTACTATTTCTTTTTTCATTATTTTATTTTGTTGTAAATCGTGTGCCAATAAAATCTGATATCAGGATAGAAAACACATTTGACGATTAATTTTAATTTATTATTATCGTTGAATCATTCTGTGGATTATATCACGTTGTACAATCGCAATAATTATTTTTCTCACAGAAAATATTCCATTTTTGTTTCAAGATAGTTTTTAATACATTTGAAATTATTTCAAAAAAATGCACACCGGTGTTATAAAATCTTTGAAAAATTTTATTATCTATAATTATTTATAATAATTACAATTATAATTATATATTATATTTATCATTATTTTTATTTTATAATTATATATATTATAATTTATAATATAATTATTTATCTATAATTTATTATTTAATTATTATTTATTAATTATCTATATTATATATTAATTCTAATTATTTATTAATTATCTATAATTATATATTATATTTTATTACCTATAATTTTATTATTAATTTTATTATCTATTTATTACGATATAATTTATGACAATAACAATTGTTATTCAATTTTCAATTTTTATTTGATAAAAAGTTAATTACACCTTGTTGACTTTCTAATCCATTTGAGAATGATGCTATATAACATTTCATTTCCTGGATTAGTGTGGCTTTTCATTCATTGTTAGTCATTTAATTAGATTAGGTAATTACGGGGTAATTTTGTTCTACAAAATGAAGAATGGATGATGATGGAATGATTTTTTTTACACATGTCAATTGTTTACTTGACTCATTTTTCTATTGTCCATATTGCCAAGTAAACTAACCTCTCTTCTTTCACATAGAAAAATATATAGAAATATGTAGTTAAATTATAATTTATATTATAATCAATACTACTGTAAAATACCAAACACATATACATATTTTGATTAATAAATATAATTATTAAGTAGTCATATGAAAACAATTTGAAAATGTTGTTTCATAATTTTATAATTTCAATACGTATATTTTAACACATTCGTCGCCATGTCACCGTATACCGGTAACGAGCATGCTTCTCCGGGGGACCCGTCACCATATACGGTGACGCTCTTCTTATTGAAGTTATAGTATTTTTAGTTGGAAAAACTTATCACATGTCCCATTTCGAAACAAAATTATTTTCGGTAAATAAACGATATTTGTATATTTTATTATTTTCGGTAAATAAAATATAATATTATAATATAACCATAATACTCGGGTTGCATTGTTGATATTTTTACTTATCGCTTCTTTACGTTACGGCGCGCCGACAGTCGAATTTTGGGCCTGGCGAGAAACTCAACCGAAACGGGCTGGGCGACGAACGTATTAAACGAAGAAAAAAGAAGTGTTCACTTTACAATTTATTATAAAAACAAAACAATCAAATGACATATTAATGAATCATTATTATTTTTTTTTTTGTTTAATTAGAAAGAAAAAAAGTTAGTTAGAAAAAAATTCCAAAAATCTAATCAACAGTTTGTCCCTGGAATTTTTCATTGTATAATATTTTGTAATGTTTGTTCTTTTGAAAAAGAATTTAATCGATATATGTATAAACGATAGAAATATTTTATTCGTTGAGTTAATTCATTTGTTATTTGAAATCACGATAATAATCAATGTTTGCTTATATATTATTTATTTTTCTATTTTAGATAGAATTTTCTAAAATTTGATTCAAAACAAACTTATATTATATATATCGATACATTTTATATCAGATAAATATACGCTTACAACACATATTTTTATTCTAGATATATCTAAAATATCTAAAAACACTTAGATGGTTAAACATTTTGAGTAACATAATGTATGATCGTTATAAATGATAAATATGTTTGCGTTTAAATAGGATGATTCAGTGGGTAAATATGATCTTAAGTGACGATTAATTTAAAACAGTCTAGATCGAAGATATGGTCGGAAACCTTTTTAGATTTGTTTCCTCTTTTTTCTGTCTTTTTTCACTTTTTTTTTTTTAATATACCAAATCAAATAAATTGCAAGGTTACGTGAAATGAAATTTTTGTACATTTGTGATTATTATTTTTTTTTACAAATTATTTCTACAGGATTGGTCTTCGAAATATTTTTTATTAAAATATATTTTTTATAATTATACTTTACGAAATTTTTAAAATCAATTAAAATATAATGTTTATTGAATTTTGGTGTAGTAAAAAGAAAAGAACACAATTTATTCTTCTCGAATGTTATTAGATATAATTTGGTTTTTTTATAAAAAAAAAATTATATAATAATAAAAAGAACAAGGAACAATATAAAATAATAATAAAAAAATAAATATAAAAAATAGTATTATAATTATATATATTATACATATAATAATATATATTATTATAGTATATTATTATATATTTTCAGCACGGTATGGCCGTTAACGACTATATTATTATATATAATTTTATAATTATTATATTAATATAATTATATGCTAGAATAATAGAATATAATTATAAAAATAGTATTATAATTATAAAATATATTATACATATAATAATATATGATAATAATATATATTATTACAGTATATTATTATATATAATTCTATAATTATTATATTAATATAATTATATACTAGAATAATAGAATATAATTATAAAAATATCATTATATTATTAATATTATTAATAAAAATGAATAATAATAATATATAAAAAATAAATAATAAATTTAGTTAACGAGTTAAATGAAATTTTAAGAAAATTACTAACGATGATGACAATACAGGAATGTTGAAATAAACAAATTAATCCTTTTTCGAAATCACATATTATCATTCGTAGAAACATTCATATATATATATTTTGTTCTTTATATTTTTTTTTCTCTCTTTTTGTAAATTTATTTACTATGATCGTCAAAGCAAATATTAAGAAAAAGAAACATCGTCACCTTCGCCTCCTTTTTACATGAATAACGATGATGATGATGATGATGAAAAGAAGAAGAAGAAGATCACGTTTCGTTATCAAAATGACTTAATAGTAGTACAAGAAATGATGATATTTATTTTCTGACGTATATCAAAAACGAAGTCATAAAAAGTAAAAGAAAAAAAAAGTGAAAAAGGTAGCATACCACGATGACGTATCATCCTTGCTTTCGATAGAACAAGAGAAACGTGGGTTGTTGTTATCTTTCGTCAATTAAAGATATTCAAACAAATGGATTATGTTGTCTCTTGTATATGACTTTCGTATTCTTATTATACTGAAGAGAAGAAAAAAAAAAGTGCAGAAAATTCATCTTCTATTTCTTTTATATTTTTTTTTCTTTCTTTTCTTTTTTTTCGATAAAAATCTTTCTCAAAATCTTAATAAAAAAAAAAATAAAGTAAGGAATTTGAAATAATATCAGGTAATCTTATAAGCAATTCGTGTTTTATTAAATACTTCTCACGTGATTCCGGTATTCGTAAGTGAATAAAAAAAAATCTTATTGTCTTCTTAGAAAATTGATAAACCCAAAAAGAAATTTTTTTAAATATATTATATTAATTTATTATTATTATTAATATAAGTATAAAAAAATAATACATTATATTATAATTTATATATTATTATATTTTATAATTTATAAATATTATAAAATAATATATATAAAATTAATATATAAATATATTAATATAATATAAAAATAAATATGAAATTATATTAATAT